AGGTGTGTAGGGGTGTTTGACGTGTGCTGAAGAATTTAACTTTATCATAGACTTTGATATGACTTCTAGTTTGCTCATTTCAAGGGGAATAGCTTAATGGGATTCTTAATTTTTAAAGTCTTTCAGGATGTATTTTATAGTCTATATTTGGGTTTCTTGGATATGCAGATGAATGAGACTAGTGATAGCCAGCGTTTTTATACTGCATGTCAGTCAAAAGGGAAACTTCGCCTTGAGCCTTGTAACACTGACCTCATTCACCTGCTGTGACTCTACCTAAAAAACATCTCCTAAGTATTTTGGTAACATAATTTGCCATCTGTTTTTCTTATAGTTCATGCATTTTAACACAATGTTACACATATATATATATATATATATATATATAGTCTAAGACTCCACCAACTAATGAATTCCAAGTTGGTATGAAATTGGAAGCCTGTGACCCTCGCAACATTGGTTCAGTGTGTGTTGCTTCTGTTATTGCAACTACTGGTGCCAGATTACGTTTACGACTGGATGGTAGTGACAATAAGAATGACTTCTGGAGACTTGTTGATTCATCAGACATACAGCCTGTTGGGACATGTGAACAGGCAGGAGATTTACTTCAACCTCCACTGGGTAAGGATACATAGTTCTTGAAATACCATAGTCTTACTAGTAAGCTATTCACTAGAGGTGGCTTGAAATGTCCTTTTAAATATCACTTAGGCCTTCTTATAAGTATATGGCCAGGGAGTTACTGTAGAGGATATATGATTAGAGAGGAACTCAGTACCATGTCACTTGCATGCATACTACACAAGTGTGCTGAAAGGCCTCATTTTGAACAAATGTTAGAGTAATCTTCAAATTTAAAATACCATAAGAAGCTTACTTATATCATGCATATAAATTCAGAAACTCTTCTAGAGAAGAAGTCTGCAATAGTTCATATGAGTGACACACCTTGATACTTTCCACTGAGCCACTCAACACTTTCACTGTGAGGATGAGGATAGGAAGACTGTGGGATTCTACATTATGAATGGAGTATAAGAACCAGTACTTTTGTTATTGAGACGGTTCTTTCATTCTTAACCATTAGACACCAAGGAACCTAGTTACTGTCAGGCATCGAAAAAGATGAAAGAATGGAAATTTTAGCAAAGGGTTTAAGTTTAAGCACATGTAGTGTTTCGTTGGGCCATGTGTTTAAAATGTGAAAAGGTTATGACATATTTTGGAAGAAAATCTTTTTAGAACTGAGGAATATCTGTAGAATCTGTAGAAAATAAGTGATTAGTTTATTTGGTCATCATTCTTCATTCCCAGTGAATTTCAAATGTTAGTTTTCATGTTCTTTACAATGCTTAAAATAAGAAATAATGTAAAACTCAGAATGAATTTTCCTTATTAGTGACATATTTCCCAAGACCCACTAATACAGAATACTGAGAATAATTACTTTAACAGATTTGTTAATTAAAATGATTGAGTTTAAGGGCTGGGGTGTAGCCCAGTGATAAGAGCACATACTTGGCATTCACAAAGAGCTGTATTCAATTCTTGTTACAATTTTAAAGTAATTTTAAAAGGGATACAGTGAAGCTTAGTGGCAAGGTGCTTGCCTAGCAGCCCCCTTTCATTGGTTTTTAAACCAGTCAGAGGTAGGTTTGTTTTTGTTTTTGTTTTTGTTTTGTTTTTTTTTTTTTTTTTTTGAGACTGGATCTCAGTAATTTAGCTCAGGTTGGCTTTGAGCTATTGATCCTCTTGCTTCAGCTTCCCAAGTATTGAGATTACAGATATGTGCCACTACACAAAAAGTACTTTTTAATTTTTCCTTCTTTTTCTTTTACACTTATTTATTGGTGTGCGTGTGAGTGTGTACACACACACGTGTCATAGAACACATGCGAAGGTCAGAGTACAACTTGGGGAAATCCCTTGTCTTCCTTGTACCATGGCGGTTCTAGGCATCAAACTCAGGTGGTCAGGCTTGGCAGTAAGCACTGAGTAACAACCATTCCATCCATTTCCACGATCACCATCTGTTTTCCTAGTTATGTTTTGGGGAATTTCAGTAAAAGTTTATTTGTGGATGACTTGGTCGGTCTTAACATTTTTGTATGTATTGACTGTTATATAGAGCTCTGTTGCCAATGATTCACTTGCACCCTTATCTTAGTAAATGTATCAACTGCGTTATTATGGCCTGTCCCCAACATAAGTGTGTTTGTTGGCAAACCCTAGTCAATGGCTTCTCTAAAATGAAAGTTTCTGGTTCCACTTTGACATTGTTGTCAGACATCAGAGTGATGGCTGTAGCTACAAGAAGATTCATCTCCTTTTACTCAAGTCCTTAGAAAGTCATTCTCTGAAGAGGATATGTGACTATAACCTGTTTGTTCTCTATTACCATAGTTTCACAGATTTTTCATGATATCTAATTTATAAAACAGGGTACAGAATGAATGTTTCATCATAGCCCATGTTTTTACTACGGACACTAACTGGATCTGAACTGGCCCCTGCAGTGTTCTTTAAGAAGGTAAGAAAAGCATTACAAGAAATTTCTGTCCCCTAGAACATGATTTTATTTTTTTTTTAAATGGGACTGCTTAATACGTTGTCTTTTCCTATATGGGAAAAAAGTTTTGTTTTGTTGTTTTTTTTTTTTAAATTGCAGGTTGGCAAATACTGAGTTAGTTTGTTAGACCACTATAACAAAGTGGAGTAGTTTACATAATAAAAAATGTTTCCCATAGTTTGGAGGCTAGAACAAGAATTAGGGTGCTTTGAAGGCTGGTTTATAGTTGTCCATCTTCTTGTGTCCTTTTATGGCCTCTTCTCTGTGTGTGCAAACCTACTGAGTCTCTTCCTCTTATTATTACACCACACAGTCAAACTGGATTAAGGGACTGTTTTCGAATGTATTCATATTGGTAGTACTTCAACAGAAATTTGTGTTAGAAGAGACACCACTCAGTTCATTATAGCAACTATAGTTTATGAGTCTAATAGTCCTGTCACATCCAGAAATACTCTGTTTTGCTCTGGTTCTCCCTGATCTCTGGCTTTTAGAATCTTCCTGCCTTTCTTTTCCACAATGATTTCTGAGCCTTGTGGTGATAACATGGTGTGATATGGTTATCCCATTCATAACTGAGAACATTTATTCTCTGCACGATGACCAGCTGTTTAACAGTTTCCTTTTTGTATAGAGGCTTTTTAAATTTCATAAAGTCAAAATTGTTGATTGTTGTATTTATTCCTGGATGACTGGAGCCCTATTCAGAAAGTCCTTACCCAATACTGAAGTGTATTTCCTACTTTTTCTTCTAGAAGTTTTAGATCTATCATTGAGATTTATGATTCATTTGGCATTGATTTGTGTGCAGGTTGAGAGAGAAGAATCAAATTTCCTTCTGTATGTATATAGCTAGATTTCTCAATACAATTGTTTAAATAGCTATCTTTTCTCTAGGGTATGTTTTTGGCGTCTCTGTCAGAAATCAGGGAGTTGTAGTATGTGTAATTATACCTGGCTCTTCAATGCTCTTCCGTTGATCACTGTGTCTGCTTTTGTCCTGATGCCATGCTGGTTTTACTACTATGGCTCTACCCTGTAACTTGAAATCAGCAACAGTGACACCCCCACCAGTGTTTTTTTCATTGTTCAGGATTGTTTTGCCTATCTCTAGGGTATTATTTTGGGCTTCAATATGAATTTTAAGATTGATTTTTCAGTTTCAGTACAAAATGTTTTTGGAATATTGGAGATTATACTGAATCTGTAGATTGGTTTTGGTAGGATAACCATTTTCATATTATTAACACTACCATTCCATGTGCATAGGAGGTCTCCCTTTCTTGTGTCATCTTCAATTTTTTTTCTCCAATGTTTTAAAATTTTTTACTGTAGATGGCTAGATTTATTTAAACATCAGTTCTGGAGATTGGAAGTCTGACATGAAGGTGCAGACAGGACTTCTTCTAATGCTTCCTACGTTTCCCAGCATGGTCTTTCTGGTCATCATGCTCAGAGGCTCTGTAAACAGAACCTGGGAGTGCTGTGCTGACTGGGCCCTCAGCTTCAGATTGCTCTGGAGAAGTCACCATGAAGGTTCCAAAGTCTAATCCCTGGGTTGGTACCATTATTCAGGGAGTAGGAACAAGCCTATGGTCATTTTCTCTGACTAAAAATACCCCTTCCCTCAAGGGAAGGAGACTTATATGTGTGATGATGATGTAAGCAAAAGTAACAGACTCCTGAAACTTACAAGGTTCACAAGGCCCTTCAAAATTATACAAACAGTAAACAATTGCTGGTGAGAGCTGTCTCCTGCTAAGCTGTCTGCAAGTGACTTGTAAGAACATTGTAAAACTGCAGGGATTGAGTTGTTGAGAGTCATCACCACGCTGGGGTAGTCTTTTATGTGATACAGTTACCTTTCATTCATCTGTGTGCCTGTAAATAATCCCTCATCCATACACCTGAAGGAACCCCAATAAACTCACTGGTTCACCAAGCCAGACTTGGGTTTCTGTCATTGTCAGTGCTTATCTTGGGTGAACAGACACTTGTTCATATCTCCCCAGGAAAAATCAGACCACAAGTACAAAAAATCAGGTCTGGGTTTCCACATCCTTGAAAGTAAGAACCAATACTCCCATTACAATCACCTGAATGCCAAAGTGCTCTGTCAAAGTCTCTTCAATTATACCAAAATTAGCTAACAACTGCTTGCATCATTACTTGTATGAAAGCACAGCAACCTAACCATTTTCCAAAGTTCATCATGTTCTAGGGACAGGCCACCACTAAAGCCACAGCTGGCTCCACTTGGCACTGACAACTGAGGAGGAATTTTTTAATGAATTTGACAGAGAAAGAACACCTATGAAGAAATCAATTGGCCTTTTTTCTCTACCTGGTTTCAGGTTTTAATTATGTGAATTGGTTTCAGCAAGTTTCTTTACTGAGTATACAGAAACAAAACACCAGCAAGCCATCAGACTCTTCAATGAAAATGTATTTAACCTCAAACAGAATGTACACATCATGCAAATGAGGCATCACATGATTACAATGGTGCTGTGAGGTACAATGAAGCTCAATGAAATGGACACTTAGCAAAATAAAGCTTTAAGAATAATGGCCAGCTATTTTTTTTAGACGTCAGACCATGCTATCATCTGTGTGCTTGTCATAAAAGATATATCTCCTTTGATATTCATCAAGGCCAATGGCACAACATTCTTAGAGGTATGCATTTTATTTAGACTATATCACATAAACATACATAGCTTCTGAGACTAATATATTCTTAAACTGTACCAGCTTTAAAAGTACAGAACAAGATCACTAGTGAGATTTGTTTATATCTCCTGGTTGTAAATCTCAAAATTAAGGATCTTTTCAAAAGGTTTAAGGTACAAGTCAAAACAAAAAGCTCCAAAGAAAATGTCCTTTTAATAGTAAAGCTACATTTCACCACAAAAAATGAAAAATTTTAATATGGCATTAATGGCATAAAATATATGGAGTTATACATTCTAGTGTCATTTTTCTCGTTCAGACTTTTTAATGTTAAAGTCTATTAAAGTGACATACTGGGACCAACTTGGGGCCCCCTTTCAAAGCACTGTGACTTTTTTATTACAGTTAAGCAAACACAGGAAGCAGCAAACAAAAAGAAACTTCCAAGATCCAGGAGACAAAGAGCAAAACCACGAAAACAACCACCTGCAGGAGACTTGATTCATTCAATGGTTTGGAGTGACAATTTGGAGATTTTAAAGGTGTGACAAGAAAGAGTCCTTGCTAGATTCAGTTGTCCATGTCCATGTCCATAAGGGGGAAAGAAATAATTGCCACTATTTAATTATTTATTCGACCAAACATTTCTTTAATGCCCAAACAAGCAATGTGGGATAATGCTCTGCAGGTGATGAGGCTTAATAATAAAAATAAACAGAAACCTGAGAGGGAGAGAAAATGGCTAGATTTCTCCCCCACCAATAAAAAAAAAAAAGGATATAAGCAGCCCAGGTTGAGTACATGTTTAACTAGATGTGGATAAATAGAAGATTTTTATAGGAAGAGATATCTAATGTATATGTGCTCCAACTCTGGGAATGCAAGTGTCCTAAAGTGCAGTTCCCAGGCAGCATCTCGCAGGTTATATTAGAGAAGGACAAAGAAGTGCTTTAGCAGCAGCTGAAGCTCATAAATAGAACCATAAAATGAAACTTTGCTAAAGCCCAACAAGGCAAAAATCTCAAGGTTTCTACCAAGAGAGGCCAGTGTTTGCCAAACTACCTAGGAATACAGTTACACTCTGATCTAGTAATTTGGAATCCAGCGGTTAAGGGCGAAAGAAGCTTCTTCAGGTGGCTAGCAGCTCAGATTTAACACCGACAGCTTCATGGTGATCCAAACACCACCTGTGTCAATTCAAAAACAAAACCAGGTAAGATCAAGGCAGAAACCAAGTATTTTGCACTCTTCCTTGGCTAATACAGTATTTCTCAACAGAAAGAGTAGCAGTTTCCACAGAATCATTTTTTGAGTAGGGTCAAATATTCCTCATATGGGACTTCTCTAAAATTGGCAGATGTTTTGAGATTTTTCTTCCCTTGAGCGAAGAACAGTTCTCCACTGAGGAAGTAGGGCTGGTGCAGTTTTAGGAAGGATGAGGGAGGGAAGAATGGGATACTCTAAGCCACCAAGACTGTCCTTGCACCCAAACCTAAAGGTGTTTAATGTCTCAAGCACTCTGGCAATAAACCACCTTTGGTTTAGAAGGATTTGGGAACTAGTCTAAATCTCATGAGAATACATAAGCAATGTGAATAAAGTGATTCAGTCAAGATTGTTTTTTTCTTTTAGGACATTTCTTTCAGCTAAGATGTGGGGAAAATATTAAGAGCCTTGAACCTGCATAATGAGTTTACTGGATATTGAGGTAAGTGAATTGGATGGAAGTTAATTAAATCAAGGTATACTAACAACAAAAGAAACCTCTTAATGAATACTAAGCCATGCAACTGTCAAGAAGACAGAATGCTCAGATGAATTCATGTTTTCAGTGTTCTAGAAAGCAGCCACTCTTTCAGAAATTCAAGATCATTCTAGTCTACATAGTGAGTTCAAGGCCAGTCTAATCTACGTGAGACCCTCTCTCAAAATATTAAAAGTGGCCTGTCATGTATTTCCTCTCCTGTGTCAAAGGGCTCCAGGGACTCTGAAGAGAACTGACTGAAAGAGACTCTAGAGTTCATTGTCTATACTGTAGTCTCTATAGGCAAGGATTGAGGTCAGGTGGAAATCAGTACACAAAATATAACTTTGTGGCCTTCCCACTCTATTACTCTATTTGATTAAAAAATTAGACTAAATCAGTTTAGGCATCAAATTTCTGTTAGAATCCAGCACCATAAGAAATAAAGTGATGGAATTCTGAGAACCTAAAACCCTTTTTAAGAGTCTACAATGGCAGAAGGACTGGGAAAACTCAGTAGGTAAAAGTGCTTGCTGTGCAGGAATCAGTGTGAGTACAGATCCCCAGCACACACACCGAAGAGGTACATGGCCACAGGCACCTGTAATCACAGTGTGGGGTGCTGTGCAGGAATCAGTGTGAGTACAGATCCCCAGCACACACACCGAAGAGGTACATGGCCACAGGCACCTGTAATCACAGTGTGGGGTGCTGTGCAGGAATCAGTGTGAGTACAGATCCCCAGCACACACACCGAAGAGGTACATGGCCACAGGCACCTGTAATCACAGTGTGGGGTGCTGTGCAGGAATCAGTGTGAGTACAGATCCCCAGCACACACACAGAAGAGGTACATGGCCACAGGCACCTGTAATCACAGTGTGGGGTGCTGTGCAGGAATCAGTGTGAGTACAGATCCCCAGCACACACACACAGAAGAGGTACATGGCCACAGGCACCTGTAATCACAGTGTGGGGTGGGGTGGGGCAGGAGGATTGCTGCAGCTCAGTGTTCAGATAGCCTAGCCAGAACAGATGACCTCCAGGTTTAGTGACAGACCCTGTCTCAAAGGAATAAGGTGGAGAAGAACAGATGAAGATACCTGTGCACACTCAGCAGACACCATATACACCTACACAAAACCCCAAACAATTTAAAATAAAATGACAGGAGCAATAGGAATTACTAACTGCTCCAGGATTTGATTATAGACCCTAATTATGTTTTCACTGTTCAAAAAGAAGTGCCAGCTGCTAGAGAAACGGCTCAGGGGTTAAGAGTGCTTACTGCTCTTGCACAGGACCTTAATTTGATTCCCAGTACTCATGTCAGGAAACTTACAACTGCCTGTAACTCCAGATCCAGGGGGAATGTGAGGCCTCTGGTCTCAGAGGCCTTTCTTTACTCCTGTGTATATGCACACAGGCTTAAATTTATTTTTAAAATCCTAAACTGAAATCAATCAAATGTGAAATATAAGTGTACACAACTGTACATATAACTGATGCATTTAAATGCATAGAACTGATAAAGACTCTCACATGAGTGTGACTGGTGTTGTTCAGTAGTAGAATATGAGCTTAGTTGTAAAACACAGAGGGTGAGGGAGAAAGGAGAGAATGAGAGACTCCAGAGGTCAAAAAGATAGACTGAGCAATCACACAAGAGTGAGCATCACAGTGCCAGTGAGAACAAAAGCATTTTGACAACAAAAGAGCTCAGGACACACAAATCAAGTTCTTTCCGCTCTCCCCTCAGCTTTGACCTCGAAACCGATGTCTGTTTGTGAAGAATCCCGAATAGGTCAACAAAAGAGCTGACCATTTGCTCATCACTCAGTCTGCATGAGTGATTACAGGTAGAGGATGGGAAGTCACTGAAGGAGACTGAGAGGAGAGGTTCACTCTAGTAGAACTACCCTCAGCATTCTCTCCTGGCCTCTAAAAAGATGCTACCTGAAATACATTGGCCATCAAACCTTCTCAACCTTCCTACCCACAGCTCTAAACAAGGACAACGTGAGTAGAACACTACATTAGGGAGTCACATATAAAGGAATCACTTAGAATCCGTCTCATTCAGTGTGTGCCGCAATAAATATCCATGTTTGTAATTTTCAAATAAAATCAGTTGTCCAAGAGGCCGCATGGCACTTATCTGATCTTTACAAATCTCAGTTGGGGAATTATAGATTTAGAGTATCATTAAAAGACTGTACCTTTTATTAGAGGAATGCTGTCTTTGTCAACAGAAGGTGTTCAGAGTTGTTTCTTGCCCAGGACTGTTAAATCCTTCAATGAGGTTTTTGTTACAGTCATCAAGGCTGAGATTTTCACTGGATTTCTTGGGGAATGTGGGGGGGCCAGTAAAATCTAAGATATCTTGAAGTGCCCGGGCATTACCAGTTCCATTTTGGTCCAGAGACATCCCAGGAATCATTTCACTCACTGGTGAAAATTCTGGGATGGAGATAAGCTCTTCTTTGGAAACAGGACTAGAAGAGATGAGGGAGACAGAGAATGAGAGACAGAGAGCAGAGAGAACATGAGAATGAAACACGGTGTGTTAATGTACTTCCGTCTTTTTCTTTTTTTCAAGACAGAGTTTCTCTGTGAACAGTCCTGGCTGGCCTGGAACTCACTTTGTAGACCAGGCTGGCCTCGAACTCACAGAGATCCCTCTGCCTCTGCCTCCTGAGTACTGGGATTAAAGGTGTGCACCACCACCGCCCGACACTTCCCTTTTTTTTGTGTGGTTTTACTATACTGCTCTTATGGAAAAGAGAGTTAAGAGAACAACAGATGAGTTCACATCTGGGAAGCAGATAGACACAAGGTCCCTGCAGATGAGAACAAAGGAAGCAGATGGGCGGGGCAGTGAAGGGAGAGCTCAGTGTCTGAGGGTTGAAAGGAAAAAATCTACAGGCACTACCACATTACTGCAGAGAAGCAATGCCCTCCCACAGCTTTTAGGCTGGGACATTCCAAGAGCAAGTAAGGGCTGAAAGTTCAAGTGAGGTGAAAAGGGCCCTAATTTGCACTGGGGCCTCCTGGTGCTGCCCTTCCAGCAGTGCTGTCTATGGTGAACTGCTCTTCCTGGAGCTGGCTTCAGGTTCCTGTCCCCTGTAAAATGAGAAGAGTTATTTCTTCCTCCCATCACTCCTTTGAGATGTGAAGTAACCATGCTGAGAAGAGTTGATGCAGGGCCACATAAAGCATGTGCCTAGTTAAGGTTAGGGAATGGGAACATGGAACCTTCTCTCACTCTAGGCAACTCCATACCCAGCTGAAGCTTGCTTTTTCTTTATTTCCTTTCCCTAGAGATGGGGCGTTTCACTGCTGCTGTCTGCTTTAGGTATAGCAAAGGAGCATATCCAGGTCCTGAAGACTAGTAGGCTAAGAATTAAGGGCCTGTCCCAGGAAGACTCTTAACATATAGAATAAGGCTGATGTCAGGCTCCTCTTCCTTCATGAGATCTTAGAGAAGAATCTAGAAAAACTGGTAGATTTGTAGAAGCTCAAAGGATCCACTTCCCTTACACCTGAGCCAAGCTAAGGCACCATAACTGACCTAACATCTTTGAGTATCTGGGCAAGCTGCCTTATTAAGTATAAACATCTGGCTCCACCTACAGCTTTCCCCATCATTCCCCTTATTTCAACTCAAGAACACAGAGAAAATCTGGGCATGGTGGCACATACCTATAATATCGTCACTTAGGGGAATTAAAAGTTCAAGGTCAATGTGAGGTACATAGTGATTTTGAGGCCAGCCTGAGCTACATGAAACTCTGTCTCAAAAACCCACTACTACCACCATCAACAACAATAAAGAACACAAGTAAGAGAATGCCACCACAAGCTTACATGTGGCTCTAGTAGTAACCTTTCTCTAAAGGAGAATTCAGTATATAAAGCCCATTCACTTTTATGAATCCTGGCCAATGGCACCATGTCTTGCCCCCCAAACATAAACTAAAGCATACTTGGCTCAACATGGGTGTGTTAACCGTTCTGATTACCTCTGTTTTTCTCTGCTGGGAGCAGAATGGCACCAGTTAGGGGAAGGTGCCACACATGATGTTGGGGGTATGGGAATATCCAGTTGAGGGTTGGTTGGGAGCTCTACTGTCAGTCTATACAGGATTTTCTCTGCTGGTGATAGGACTGTTGCAACTTAGATGTTCATGTGTTTAGTTAAAGCCCAATGTGGACGAATGGATATTAATGATCAATGTGTGTCATAGGTTGCTCCTATCTGCTCAGATAAAGCAGAGGGTTCATGGCTGATGAGAAAAGGGTAAGCTCTTAACAGGTAGGAGTTCCGGTAGAACTTCTATAAAATACTGTCACACTCCCCTGACTTGGAGAGCTACCCCTGACTCTAACACCTCTACCTCAATCACAAGCAAATTAGCTCTTTTTATCACAGAGTAATTTGCCACATGACGTCAACGGCAAACATACCAGTTTAAGAATACCTTAGGGTTTTAGTAACTGAGAACAAATTAGTTTTTCATTGGGTCTTTAACAACAAACTTTCCCCCATCATCCTTCTGTGGCAAAACCTTGTTATGCAGCCCAGGCTGCTGTCCAACTCTTGGTTCTCTAGTCTTAGCCTCCAAAGTGCTTGGATTACAAGCATCTGCCATCATCCTCAGCATTAAATTAAAAGTTCACTTAAATGTGAGACTTCGTGGACACAGGACAACGCTGTTGTGGTCAGGCGAGACCTCCTTTACTTGCAGGTACACTACTTCCCAGCTTCAGAGGGCTGGCTAGTCGAAGATTCACAGCTGCTATCCTTTCTTTCAACAATTTCTTTTAACTGACAGGAGCCATTATGGCCACAGTTACTCCTGCATCATCCAACCTGCAGTGCCTTGCCTACACTGAATGACTAATATATATCACTATATATAGTGATACAAATGATGTCCCGGTGGAAAAGCAGCCTCTCCATCTCCCAGGAGAATGAGAACACATCCTTACTTAATGCCTTCCCTCACTCTACAGTCCTCCTCCTGTAAATCACATGCCACGAAACCCTGTCTCCCGGATGCCAAACTCAAGACACTTACATTACACCAGTGACAGCTTTCCTGCATCAACAAAACCTGCTTTGAGGTGATTTCAGTATGGACAGGAAAGATGAGTGAAGGGATAAAGTAAGAAAAGGTATATTGTAAAGAAACAACTAAAAGAAATGAAAAAGGTGGGGAAAGTGGGGAAAAATGGAGCAATTGGCAGTGACTGGCAAAGAGATCAAAATTAAGTGCAAAATAAATGAACATACCTCACATCCATGGATTGAACTTCTTCAGTTGAATCATCCAGACTGTTTGATTTCCCATCAAGGCCCTCCAGATGAACAGGTGCCCCAACTGGTTTAAGACCATGGGAGAAAATGTCTTGGGGGAAGGTTTCCAGAGCAGCACGCTCTGAGCCATTTACTTCCTGGCAGGTGTTCAATCCATTGATTTCTGATCAAGAACACAAAGTCTTCAGATGAATCAGAAATTTCAAAATTGATAAAGTAGCAGGAAGCACATAACAAGGCAATTATTTTCATACTTTCTTTCACCAATAACACAATGGTTTTTTTGTTGTTGTTGTTGTTGTTGTTGGTTTGTTTGTGGAAAGAACTGACAATAACGCCATGCAATTAGCTTCACAAAGGAGAAGGGAATAGGATCTCATTATCAGTGTCTGCAGAGCCTCAGTTTAAGAGATAAGCCAGGTCTTAGTAATACCTGATGTACAGTCAAGGTCTCTGGAGAGCATCCTGGGCCACATAACAATTAGAGAAGGTGAGGAAGGCGGTGGTTTCCCAAATGGAGCCAGTAACCCTTATGCTGGAAAGATGTCTCAGGAGGCAAAACTGCCAGCAGCCACTGCCTTGGGACCTAGCTGCACTACCCTGACCTCCAGCCCCAGCAGGAAGGTTCACTAGTCCTCATCACCTAGAGGACCCAAACACCAAACCTCACACTCACCTATTTTGTTGGGGACAACTGGTTTTGTCTTATTTTCCACATCTGCCACAGGCTGAATCTCCACTTTGGGGTCTTCCTTCTAGGAAAAAAAATAGAAGGTGGATGACTAAGAAAGAATGGGGAAAGGAGAAAAAAAGAAAAAGTATCCAATAAAAAATAACTATAAAATGAAATAAAAGTTAAAAATCAATCAATGGCAGTGACTGGAAAAGAAATTAGGAAGGTGATGAAGGTTGAAATATTGACATTACAAAGACAAACACTTTTTAAAAAGCACCAGGGAGTATTCAGAGCCCTTCTGGAACAAAGCAGGAAGTGATTCTTTGATGCTCTGTATTTCTCTTAATTATTATGTCACTTTTCTCTTCAAACTACTGTGTCTTTTCTTGTATTACCACTCTACTACTCTAGGAGTATCTTTTACTTTCTTCATCTCTGAAATTTCTCTTTCCTTTAAGGTCTCAGTTCCTTCCTGAGCCTTGTCTTACACAGAAAAGGAAAAATGTACTTTTTCTAGACATTTGTTCCAAACTTTCAGCGTCACTAAATGATGCTGTTCTTCTCCACTCATGATGTAATGGCTATCTGAATTCTTACCTTCGCTTCTAGAGACGCATCACTCTTCCTTGTTCTCTTCATGATTTCATCTATTCTCTGTGTTTGCGGGAAGGTGTAAGAGAATAAAAAGTTGTAAGAATAAACTAAGTAAATTAAGTAAGAATAAAATGTTTGAAAAAGTTGGCTCCATATACAATTTCCTATTTCTCAGAAAACATGTAAAAGGTCACTGTGAGCAGACGGAAAGTATCACAGAAAGGTTTCCCATTGGTTCTGCAGAAGTCCTCCACTGCTACAAACAAGGTCGAAGGAATGTACTAACCCAGATCTAGAATTAACATACAGTTTGTATAGCAGCTTTCTTCTTCTCCATAAATCAACAACTTGTCATTTGCCATTCAAGAGGACTGCTATAGAAAGCTAAGCTGAACAGTAGCTCAGGAAGGACCACAGATCCCTTATCTCCTAGACCTACAGCAACACAAAGGCCACACTGGGCCTAGGACACCACAAAAGCAGGTCTTTATAATCAGTCTCCTTAAACCCAACTAGATATGTAAGTACATTAAGTTTAAAAGGAATAAATATTTCAATTAAAAGACAAACACTGTTAAATTAGATTCAGATAGCAAGTCCTGACTATATGCTATTTACAAAGTATGCTCATAAAAATATACAGCTTCAAAGAAAAATATGGAAAAAGATTTACCATCAAGACATAAATCATAAAAAGGGTGCCAAAGGAGACTTGAAGGAATATTATGAGATCACTAGGCATGTTGGCCCATGCCTTTAGTCCCAACACCCGGGAGGCAGAGACAAGCAGATCTCTGAGTTTGAGGGCAGCCTGATCTACAGAGCGAGTTCCAGGACAGCCAGTGCTACAAAGAGAAACATCATCTCCAAAAGCAAACAAACAAACAAAAAAAAGAACTGAAAAGGGAATTTCATGTCAATTCAAAAAGAAAATGTAACTATCATATATATATATATATATATATATATATATATATTCAAGTAACATAGGGCTTTAACATACACTGTGTGTGTGTGTGTGTGTGTGTGTAACAAAACTGACAGAAATGAAAGGCAAGATGGAAAAATTCAAAATCACAAAAAGAGCTCTACTGATTTCAGGGCTGAGGGTTGAACAAATGGCCTTATATGTGATAAACAAGCACTCTTCCCACTAATGGAGCTTCCTAATCACTCCCTTCTCAGTGACCAATAGAACATGATAGCAAAACCCATACTAAAGCCCTAGACTGGATCCCTGCCTATCCCTTGGGTCCTGTGATCCCCCACCTCTTACCTTCTTCCGCTCCAGTCGCTCCTGCTCAATCTGTAGCATGATCTGTTCTCTCTCTAAACGCATCTGCTGAGCTGCCTCCTGCGCCTTTACTTCTGCTGCTTCTTTCTGAAAGAAACGGGCCAACCAAGAGTTAGGCCTCACACACGGGGAAGGTCTCTGTGTCCGTGGGCAGGCCAGGAAATATGCACATCGGCAGACAATTCCAGAATCTAATTCACCCGAGGAGCAGTGTTCCACAGTAAGGAGTCGTGTTAGTAAGTGACTTGTCCAGTTTCCTCACTCCTCGGGGAGGAAGTTCTAAGTCACAAGCTCTAGCCTCTTAGGCACTGAGTCACAGTCAGGGACTTTACTCCCATACCATATTCATGGGATTTTTCTCCCAAAAAAACCAGTGGCACCCAAATTCTTATTCCAGTGTCTACCTCTAGTAGAGAACTCCAAGCTCATATGGCACACATTAATAACTTCACTTTATTTCATGTAAGCTATATTTAATAACCAGCACAGGGAATTTAGGAAAAAACTTCAAGTTCTTATTATGAGTCATTCAAATTAAACAAATTTTGCCCAATATCAACTAAGGCCATTGAAAAACAAGGAAAGTCTGAGCCCTCAGACTGTACCTGCTTTTCAATCACGGCTTTTTCTTGTTTTTCCTTTTCTTGTTTCTCTTTGGACACCAGCTCCTCCTCAGCTTTCTGTTTTGCCTTCTCTCCTGCCTTTTTCTTCTCTTCTTCCTGTTGCTTCTTTTCCTCTTCTTGCTTACGGGCTTCTTCTAGACGCAGCCTTTCCTCTTGTGCCTTTCTTTTCAATTCCTCTTTTTCTAGCCTTTTGAGACCAAAAGCACTGTTAGAGGAAGACACACTCCAAAGGCAAACTACCAACAGACCATGTGCTGACCATAGCACGTAAATCTCAACATGTTCACACACACGCATACACACAGACAGAGACGACAGACAGACAGACAGGCAGGCAGGCAGGCAGACAAGACACACAGACACACACAAGAGAGAGAGAGAGAGAGAGAGAGAGAGAGAGAGAGAGAGAGAGAGAGAGAGAGAGAGAGAGAGAGATACCGCGAGCGCGAGAGAGAGCAAGTGAGCGAGAGTGAGAGAGACTAAGAGTGTTTTAGTAACATTCTTATGGTCCTAAATTTCCTTAACCCTCATTATCACTGAAAACATAAATTCCTTCCCACATACCTACCAGCCTCTGCTTACCCTTTTCCTCGGTGCATCCAATGGCAATTCCATTCTCTTACTGAAAAGATTCCCTCTTACATCCACTTTACTTCCCTTGAAAGTAGTTAAAAACTAGCACAAAAAAATCTGGCTGCCCATGTGAAACCAAGTATTTCACAATTTTCAAGTATGAACCTTCTCCCTTTAAGAACAATTTCCTCCTTTCCCATCAGCCCTCTACCAAGGCCACCTAAGCCCACCACATTTGTCACTGTCACTAAGCTACCTCTACACTCTAGTTTCTCTTTGAATAGTAGAAATCTTTTGTCTTTTACTAATCTTCTTCTAGCGTTCATCAAACCTGGGAGCAGTTCTGTCATCCTCTTGATCCTTGTTATCATACCCATCCAAGCCCAGTCCTCCTTCCCTACCAAGTAGAAAGTGTTATTATTATTCAGTAGTTAATGGATATCCCTTGTCTTGGTCACTGGCCACTGGGAAGGGTCTTCATCTAATGCCCTCCATCTCTCAGTCCCTCACTGTCATAGTGTGCCCACGCCAGTCATGTGGGCCTTGAATTGCTTAGTCTTGTGGATGAATATGTGGACTTCACTGTTCAATATTCCTATGCATTTTAAGTTTTCATTTAAAAAGCTTCATCTTCACCATCAATCTTCGATCTGATCTTAGCCCATCCTTCTACCTCTTCGGTGACCTTCCCTGGTGAGCACTGTACAAACTTCTACCCTCTTCTTTCCCTCAGGATCTCCCCCATGCCTCTGGGTCCCCACCTGAGAATTTCAGTGATGACACTGGGGCTATTCTGTTCCCCAATTCCCAGCCTGGGTGGTCATTAGCATTACTCATGCCCTTCTCTGGCTTCCCAGGCTGCCTAGAGAAAGGCACCAACAAAGCTGATTGATCTTGTACTCCTTAGTCTCAGCTGATGTATTTTTAGTCTCATCCCTTGGATTCCATATGGACAATCACTTGTTGTCAACCTTTATCATTATTTTAGTTGACAGTATTACCACTACTTTACAGAGAAAATTGCTTCTTAAACTTCACTCACTGATTCACTGTATTATGACTGAGAACGTTCCCTGCCTGTTCTGATTAATATGCAAAGGACTGTAAATACGACTACCACTGAGGCAATAAATTCTACCACTCCTCATTGCTCTTACTTCTTTCGCTAGTTCCCATTCCTTCCTATGCCAGTTTTGCCCTTCTATATACAATTTCGCATGGGCTCCAAAAATACTCAGGTCTCAGGCATCCCAATTCATCCTCTTAAACTCTCTCCCGCCTGCCTTCTGCTTATGACTACCCTCTTACCTCTTTCAGGATGCTTCATGTTTTTACACACGTCTTCTCAATAATTTGTCTCCAAAAATCTGTTCATTGCTTAAACCCCAAGACAAATATAGTCTTTCCTAAGCCTCAATATATCTTACAATAGCCTGACAACACTGAATTTTCTTCCCATGAGGCCCTCACAGCCTCTGGCCACCTTGAGGTGGTACTGTCCTGTCTTCCTCCTGCCTCCACCTTACCTTGCTGCCACACATTGGAAGGCCAGTGCCTGCCCTAGCTTGCACCCAAACCACTTGCCAGCTAGAGACGTAGCCAGCCAGAAGCCAGGTATGAACAGCACTGTAGATGCCTGCCTGCAGTTTCAGGCCTGTGCTGTCATTTGGACAATGACTTCAGGTTGGCTATGTGACCTGGTCATGATAAGCTTTACTCAAATATTCTTTGATATGGGCTTCTAACAGCCATTTCAGCTCCTGCATGTAATCTATTTTGTAATACCAGGAAGTTCTCCTCTTTGCTAGTCTTTGCAGATGTCTTCCCCAGACTGGATCTATGGTATCAGTTTGCTTGCCCCAACTCCAAGAATCTCCCTGTATGTCTTGGGCCATCCCCAAGTCTAGAGACTGGGATTGCTATGTGGGCTTCTGAGAGAGCTCTGATATCCTGATATCACAGCCATCTGGAACTGGACCAGCTTTTTGCTCTTTTAGGGACTAGTTGCCAAAACACCTAATAATCCCTTTCCTTAAAGATCTCCCAGATCCATGATTTGGACAGTGTTTCCGTCAACAGTAGGTAACAATAACTGGGCTTTCACAGGTGACAATAACTGGGCTTTCCAGAGTTTAGCACAAGTATCTTTATTTTTTGCTACATTCTCTCAATTGGTAATCACATTTCTGTGACTTTAACTATTGAAACTAAACAAAACAGATGTGAGGATGATCCTATTCCAAGAGATGTCCGCTGTGTTCCAGCCTCAGGCTGTCTGGTACTTTCCTTTCTCACCTCACACGTGGCACTATCAAAGCTTCACATTCTGGCAAGAGAGAGGAAAACTGATTTGGGGTTAAATGTATTTATTCAGTTTCACCTACGCCACAGGCTTCTATTTTATTTCCAACTACCTGTGTGTTCTGCAGGTGCCTATGTTTATCTGAAATCAGAGAGTTAATTTTTAGCTTTTCAGACTGATTTTTTCGCCTTTCCATGGTCTCTTATTAGGTATGCCATCATCTTAAATACTTCAAATCAAATTTTAACATCTCCTCCAAATAAGTCCCTTTCTTTTTACTTGTGTAAGCCTGTATACTCCCTTTTCTCTTGCCTTCACCATGAAATTGTAGCGCTTGAGTCCACTTAACCCACTGCTGTCACTGAGGCCATTTTAATTGGTCTTCTTCTTCTTCACTGAGCACCAAGCAACAGTGATCCACAACTGTACTCTGGACTTTTAAAATAGTAACTAGAAAAGGGAGACAGCCTGTGGACAAATGAGGCCCTTAGTCAGCTGAAAGCTAAGCTCAAAGAAAGCTAAGCTCAAAGAGGGAGGAGATCAGCTCCCTCCCCAGAACAGGTCCAGAAAGGCCATAGAAGTGAGTTGACCTGCATCTTGAGAAAGAAAGACATATCATGTGGCAAGGAGCATGAGCTCATGTGGAGGCATAGCACAAGCAAGGGTTTTTTGGTGTGGAGATGCATACTAGAGTACATGAGGAGAGATGAAGGCTGGCGGGGGCGGGGGGAGAGAAGGAAGAGGAGCAAGGAGTGGCCAGTCCATGGAAGACTTGTTGGGAGGTTTGGATAAATTCTGTAATCAAGACTCACTAGCAAGGATAGCCACATTTATTTAAGGAAAGTCACTTTGGAAACAGCACAGAAAATGGACAAGCTCTGGGAGATCTGGAGCACTCAGTTAAGATTCCACAGGCACAGTCTAGCTGATCTATCTGATGCTGGAGGAGCATGGGGAGGATAGAAATGCTAACATGAGAGCCAGTGAAGACTTCCCTAACAACTGATGTAATGTGAAGGACAATGGAAATGTTGAAAGCAGCTCTGAGATGTCTAACTTTGGGACAGTATGGAGTGTATAATATGAACAAGAAGTCTGAGTGATGTATACAAGTTTATGGCTTCAAGATGCTGAATTTGAGATAAACTTGCAACACACTAAAATATGTACTTGGAAATATAGGTTTTGACTTATAGACAAATGCTAGCTAACAGAACTTTCTGAGATAGTGAAATGATTCATAGAATTATGTTGTTTATTCTGGTAACTACTAGCTACATGTGTCTATAAACAATGATGTGTCTAATAAGGCTAAGGAATTGAATTTTCCTCAATTTACAGTTACATATATGTAGGCACTATGGTGTAAGACAATGCAGCTTTAGATTAAATTCAGGGTCTAGGCACAGATTCAGGAGTCTTCAGTATGTTCCAAAAAGTATAGAAGGTTTACAAAACAAAGCTACAGTTAGCTTCAAAAATTGGTGATAAACACAAGGTAAATGGAAAATGAAGTCAGGAAGGGAGATGAGAACAAGTTCACTTAACACACTGATGCACGAACTGTCAGCCATAAATATTTTGAAGCCAGAGGAAACTGGAAGTATGGCAGGGACAATAGCTAGCAACACCATGTTCAGGGAGGACTTGACAGGCAGAGCACTGGTCAAGGACAAAGGACTTGGAGTCCAGACAATATTTAAGGGGACTGAACAGGTAAGATGCAGGAGACAAAAGAAAATCAAGGACAAGTCCCACAGGGCCAAAGGAAACCAAGCATCGAATTAAGAATCTGGTAATGAGCCGGGCGGTGGTGGCGCACGCCTTTAATCCCAGCACTCGGGAGGCAGAGGCAGGCGGATCTCTGTGAGTTCGAGGCCAGCCTGGGCTACCAAGTGAGTTGCAGGAGAGGCGCAAAGCTACACAGAGAAACCCTGTCTCGAAAAACCAAAAAAAAACCAAACAAACAAACAAAAAAAAAGAATCTGGTAATGAAAGGTGGAAGTGTGAACAGTGTGAACTGGGAAAATAAAGACAGGAAGGTAATCACTTCTTTCTGCAGCTGGACTGTGAAGGAAATGAGAGAACATAGTAGCTGGAAGGTAAACAACTTCCCTTTTGAAGTACACAGCAACAAGAATATCACTCACCTACTCAGGGGATGTTGTATTTCTGTGGCTACATCTACCAAGTCTGTCATTTGAAATGTCATGACTACATTACCTATGACTTTCCCTTCACATAACTTCCAGCCCACCCAAACCAGCCTGAATACACCATCCAACAATAACAAAACAAAATAATTAGAGATGTTCAGAAGGGACCTATCCCCCAACTGTAAAAACAAACAAACAAAAAAGAATAGATAAATAAACATTTAATCAGAAACCACACGCCAGGTGGTGGTGGCGCACACCTTTAATCCCAGCACTTGGGAGGCAGAGGCAGGCAGATCTGAGTTCAAGACCAGCCTGGTCTACAGAGTGAGTTCCAGGACAGCCAGGGCTACACAGAGAAACCTTGTCTTGGAAAAAAAAGAAACCACAAAGGTTTTACAAGATTTGTAAAGAATATCTTCTTATTTGTTACCTTAAATTCAGTGCTGGCCTTCAAGTGCTATAGCACTGCTTGCTTCCTGTCTCACTCCTTAAACGGTACCAGATTGTACTCTGTGATCATCCCAAGAGCCTCTTCTCCTTGTAGTGATAAAATTGACCTTGTCCTTTAACCATGTGTTGCCTTTCTGAACACGAAGATCAGAAAAAGCAGGACTGCCTGTATCCCATCAAAGTGTCTTGGCACTATTGCCACAGTGGCTTTCAGACATTGATGAACTGCTAAACTAGAATGAGACTAGGGCCAGTACATTTTCACTATGTTCCCTGAACACTTCTGATAGATACCCTCCCAATATTCAGAGACCACTGCAATGATATCCTTTGTCTTGCTCCAGGAGAGGATTTCCACATGCCCCATTCTCATGGGCAAAGGGGTTGGCTCTTCTCTCTGGCTTCTTATCTACGGGACTCTGACCAAGTCTCTTCCCTCCCTGACTTTAGAGCATGAGTTAGCATCATCTGGGAAGCAGAGTCAAGATCTCTATATCCAGAATCTTCTGTCTTTCCAGGGAGACTCAATCTATCATCAAAGCTCAAACTCTCCTCATAGCTCTACTAGAGTTGCCTATATAGTTGTCTCTATATCCAAGCAAGGGAAGGAAGGTACCTATAATATTTAGATCCTAGACATGTGGGTTTCTAGGTCCTCAGAAAACAGCAAAGTTCTGTCACTGTTAATGACCTAGAATGTCTGTGAAGTCTATGCACTCTTGATTCCTATACTTCTGTCCAGGTTCTGGCAACACAAACACTGTAAAAAGAAAGGCAAGCCAATCTTCCCAAGCCCACCTGGACATCAGATTACACAAGTCTGAGCTCCTGGATACCTGTCTTGTTCTTCCTTCTCCAGGCGTTCTTGCTCCTCTTGTTCCTTCTGTAGCCGAGCCTGACGTCTCTTCTCAGCTAGGATCTTTGCAGCTTCCCCTGCATCAGTGGTACCTGCTGTGGCTTTTCCTGAGGCAGTCAGACAAGCAGTAGCAAAGAAATCCAGGGGAAATGAGCACAATGAGTCCACTCACGTAGAAGTGGACACAAAACTATTTAACTCAGTGTAGTGATGGCAAACACTGCAAAACGGTGTTACAGTTAGTCACTAAGCAGAAGAAGCTACAATGGACTAGCTGTGACCCTGGGTATGTTCATGCCTCAGTGTGGGCAGGAAACAGTTGAGGACAGCTACAAGCAAGTTCCACAACACTACCATCTTAGTGAACTCAGTACATGTCAGAGACTTTAAGGACTAAAGCTAGTGCTCTCTTGTGCAGAAGCACACATATAGGCCTATGTGGCCCATCTTAGCACTCCTATGTGTCATAAGTTCCACAGTCATAAGCAGAGTCAAGGCCTAGGTCTCCTCAGAAAGAAGGGAGGATTAAAAAATGATGAGCAAGTCTGAGGGAGTGTACAAGGAGATGGAGTTGTCCTAGGACAAAACCCCTTCTCCCCCAAAACATGAGAGAATGACATATAGGTAAGGACTGAGGAAGAACTATGAGGGGAAGGGCACGGTTAACTCATAACATCAACAGATAAGGTTTACCTGCACTGTGCTCAGCCTTTCCTCCTGTGGCAGAATGTTTCTCAGTAGCATGCTTATCAGTGACATACTTCTCGGTGGCATACTTGTCCGCCATGTGCTTCTCAGTGGCATGTTTGTCCGCCATGTGCTTCTCAGTGGCATGTTTGTCTGCCATGTGCTTCTCAGTGGCATGTTTGTCCGCCATGTGCTTCTCTAGGATTTCTTCTATGGGTAGGCCAGTGGTCTGCTGACCAGTGGCACCTTCCTTTTCCTTATTGCTCTTCTCCTTCTCTGCCTTCTTCTTGAGTGTTTCTTCACTGGGAATGGGAGGAAAGCGATACTTCACAGGAGACCCCATATATGGGGGCTTCATTGTCTTTGGAGACTGTGGATATGCTTTTGAAATTGTCCTGGAAAACCAAAACAAGGCCAGATACTGAACTTGACCATAAAACTCTTCACAAGAAATTTTGTTCCAAGATATTGCATAACTTCATCCTTCTATAGAAACAATTATAGGGCTTAGTATACATACACCCCCCAAAGTCATCCCCAAAGAAATACATGGTATCTGTAAGATGGCCCTGGAAGAAAGATACATATTTTACGAAATTCAGCTGGTAACACCATGTCCTATATTTATGTTTTGTGACAATGTTTAGGATGGTAACATGGTTTGGATATGATTAGTCAACTAAAGATTGTGTGTGTGTGTGTGTGTGTGTGTGTGTGTGTGTGTGTGTGTGTATGCATGCCGGTGCACATGTAAGGTCAGAGGACAAGTTTGTGGAATCAGTTCTCTCCTTCCATCTTTTTTTATGTGCATTGGTTGCATTGGTGTCTTGCCTGCATGTATGTCTGTGTGAGAGGGGTCAGATCTTGGACTTACAGACAGTTGTGAGCTGCCATGTGGGTGCTGGGAATTGAACCCGGGTCCTTTCGAAGAGCAGTCAGTGCACTTAACCACTGAGCCATCTGCTTTTATGCAGTGAATCACACCACAGGCCTCAAGCTACACTTTCTGGGACTGGATTATTTACTATAAGGATGAGTTAGAATGAGAACCAGCCTTCCTTGCCTCACACAGACATACCCTTTCATATGTACCCAATTTTCTTCTTTTCTTCCATGTAGCTACATCACCAGAAGCCCAACAAATGTTGGTACTATGCTCTTCAACTACTATGCTTCCAAAAACTATGATCCAAAACAAGTATCTTTTCTTCATGAAACACCAAGCTTCAAGTATTTTATTATAATACAAAACAAGCTAAGGCATTTTCCTATATCCTCTTTTTAGATGAACACTAGAGTTGGATTTGATTTCAACATATAGCAACAGACAAGCTGGCTTCATTTTTATTTATTTATTTTAAGCTTTATTATCAGAAAAAAACACATACCAAAATTAACCAGACCCAAAGACTATATAACTCAATTAACTTCTATACAGTTAGAACAACCATTTGGAACAGAAGCTGTGGAGATAGCTCCATGTTTTAAAACTGTGAAAAGGACATATATTATGGCATTACAAAGGGTCACAGGTAGCCCAGGCTGGCCCTCAGCTCACTATGTATAGCACACTGGTCTTGAACTTCAGATCCTCCTGCCTTAGTTTCCTAAGTGCTAGGATTATTATAACTGTGAGCCAACACTCAGCCCATCATAACCATTTTTAAAGGTACAGCTATATAACAGTAGGTACATCCATACTATTGTGCAACAATTGCTGCCATCCATTTCCATTAAACAATCCCCCATTCTCTCAGGCCCTGGTAACCACCATTCTATTCTACTTTCTGTTTCTGTGAACTTGCTTATTTCAGGCATTTTACTCATGAGTGAAACCATATATTTGTCCTTTTTTGTCTGGCTTATTTAAGTAAGCACAACGCTTTCATGTTCCTGCTCTTTTTTGTTTTGTTTCATTGTTTTGAGAGAGGGTCTCATGTGTAGCCTTGGCTAGCCTCAAACTCACTGTGTAGCTAAGGATGACCTTGAACTCTCATTCTTTCTACCTCTACCTCCCAAGTACTGGAATTATAGGAATGCTCCACTATGCCTGGCTCAATCCTGGAAGCAGTTTAAAAATTACATTTAGAGTATGTGTGTGGTGGTGTGTGTGTGTGTGTGTGTGTGTGTGTGTGTGTGTGTGTGTGTGTGCGCGTGTGTATGTGTGTGACAGAACTTCTTGCAGGATTCAGTTCTCTTCTTCTACAATGTGGGTTCCAGGGATCAAACTCAGGTTTTCAGCTTTTGTGGACAAGCACCTTTACCCACTGAGCCATTTCACTGAGATTCCAGTATGTTCTCTTTAGACTTATCAAAAAGTAAACACTCATTGGCTACTGGATAAAAGATAATAAAATAAAAATCTAAATGATCCTCTTAAATAAGAATGAACCCGGGTAAAATGTGGTAGTATGTTCTTGTAATCCCAACACTTAGGAGGATAAGACAGGAGAATTTTCGAGATGCTGCTGCTTCAAAAACTAACAATAATATTAACCAAAACCAGGATGATAAACTTATGCTGGCTAGTTTTATATCAGCTTGACACAAGCGAGGGTCATTTGGGAAGAGGGAATCTCAATTGAGGAAATGCCCCTACCAGATTGGCCAAGGACAAGCCCATGAGGCATCTTCTTGATTGATGATCACTGTGGGAGGACCTAGCTCACTTTAGGTGCCATCCCTGGGCTAGTGGTCCTGGGTGCTATAAGAAAGCAGGCTGAGCCTGGTGGTGGTGGTGGTGGTGGTGCACACCTTTAATCCCAGCACTTGGGAGGCAGAGCCAGGCAGATCCCTGTGAGTTCAAGGCCAGCTTGGTCTACAGAGCTAGATCCAGGACAGGCACCAAAACTACACAGAGAAACACTGTCTCAAACCCTGGCCCGCAAAAAAAAGAAAAGAAAGAAAAGAAAAAGAAAGCAGGCTGAGAAAACCATGAGGAGCAAGAAGCCAGTAAGCTGCACCCCTCCATGGCCTCTCTATCAGCCCCTGACTCTAGGTTCCTGCCCTGACTTCTCTCAGTGATGGACTGTGAAATCTAAGTATAATCAAAATAAACCCTTTCCTACCAAAGTCGTTTTGATCGTGGTGTTTTATCCTAGCCTAACTAAGCCAAACTGTAATGGGAAACCATACTGTATTGTTTTCTCATGTTGACAGTGTTCCAACTGTGCATTATTTTTCTATAAGCTGCAAAACTTATGTTTTACTTCAAAGAACATATACAAACATAGCAGAAAGTCTTGGCCACATGTTTTTCTGTACCGTCACCAAGGACTGTAAGTACATTGTTAAACAGGCAGATCCTCAGTTGTCCTCCACCTTGGAAAGCCTCTGTCTGTTTTCTCAAGGTGGCAATGGCCTTCTGAGGTACACAGTGATCAGAGCTATAAAGCACTACACATTTGTCATAACCAGTCAGAGTAACTGAGAGAGACTTGGTCTAATGTTCTACCACAATCAATAAATATGACTTGCTCTCCAGAACATTATATAGGTGCCATGGATGCCTTCAGTCCAACAAGGGCAAAGGCAAAGGGGGCGGATATGAGATTTGATGAGAGAAGTCACAGTAAAGAATGTTATAGTATGGTAGATGGACCGAAACATTTTCTCCTCCCATAGACATTCCTGCCTTGATTCATTAATGAGTCATTCTTAGTAATGGAAGACTGGCAAAAACTGCCTGTTTTTTTTTTTCTTGCACTCACTCACTCCCCAAAGAGTAAGGTAAGAGTTTTCTAATCAGTGAGACTAAGCAAGGTGCTGGACACAAACAACCTGATCATTGTAGTTCTCTTGCTACAGGGAGTTCTCTTGACCTACAGGGAGCCTTTCTTTTGGGCTTCTCTAAGTAGTATGAAGAGATGGGCCCTGCCTCAGGGGTCTGCAGTACACAGGTACCTCTTCTCATGAATGAATACATACATGATGTTTTCTGCAAACACTACTCTAACCGGGAGGGGTCTCTACAATTGGACTATAAGACACCTTGCGCAGCCTTGGTGCAGGGGGAGGGACTTGGACCTGCCTCAATAGAATGTGCCCGGGTCTGCTGACTCCCCATGGAGACTGATGCTGGAATGTCTTTCTATACACTGCGAATATGTGTTGCTCTGATTGGTTGATAAATAAAGCCATTTGGCCTATGGCAAGGCAGCTTAGAGGCAGGCAGGAAATTAAAAGAGAGAGCCAGGAAGAAGGTGGGGAGAGATGCTGCAAGCCACCACCAGGAGAAGCAAGATATAAAGGTACTGGTAAGCCATGAGCCATGTGGCAAAGTATAGATTTATAGAAATGGGTTAATTTAAGATGTAAGATCTAGCTATCGAGAAGCCTGAGCCAATCATTAGGCCATACAGTTCATAATTAATATAAGCCTCTGTGTGTTTACTTGGGTCTGAGCAGCTATGGACCATGGGGCAACAGGAGCCAGGCAGGAACAGAAAAACTTCAGTTACATGAGATCTTGCTGTGGAGGAGGTGGGAATGGGGGGTGGGTTGGGAGGAGGGCTGAGATGGGAGGAGGGAGGAGAGGGGAATCTGTAATTGGTATGTAAAATGAATAGAAAATCTCTTAATAATAATAATAATAATAAATAAATAAAGTCAATATCAAATATCAAAAATAAAAAAAGAAATAGTAAAGTCTATGATGATTAATATTCACTGTCAAATTGATTAGATTTACAATCGACATGGAAACCCACTCCTGGGTGTGATTATGAGGGTGTTTCAAAAAATTTAGCTAAAAGGGGAAAACACACTCTTTAAAAAACTTTTTTTCTTTTCTAAGACAGAGTTTCTCTGTTTAGCCCTGGCTGTCCTGGAACTCACTCTGTAGACCAGGATAGCCTTAACTCAGAGATATAGCTGCCTCTGCCTTCCAAGTGCTGGGGATTAAAGGCTTGCACCACCAGCACCTGGAGAAAAACCCACTCTTAATGTGGGTGACCCCATCAATGAGGTGGGGTGCTGAACAAAAAAGAGAAAGAGAATGCTAGTGCTTTAAGCTCCTAGTGTCACACTTTCCCCACCATGACAGACTGAACCTTCAAACTGTGAACCAAACCCAACCTTTCCTTAAGTTGCTTTTGTCAGGCATTCAGCCACAGTTATGAGAAAAGGAACTAGCATAAAGCCTGAACTGGCCACAAGCTTAGCAGCCAGAAAAGTCACCATCAGAATGCCAACATGCCATTCTTGTCTGCTTTAAATGACTCACTAATGCAAAGATGAGGTCATATTCTCTATCTCTGTCTGCAGAAACCTGCAGTTCTGTCAGATCCATAATGGTCACATGGAAGTTAACATCACACCACTGATTGTGAGGTTCTGTTATAAGTAAAACTACACATGAAAAACAAACAAACAAAACCCTTCTACCTCAATATCT